TTTCATAGTTTGATTGTTACTATGGAAGTCGTGAAATTTCAGCAAGCATCTTTAATTAATTCTGATCTGGACATGTATTATGAAAAGACCGATACCCCCGCCTTGTGCAGGACTAGCAGTCTAGTCGAAGAATTAGGACAGGTTTGTATCCATCGATCGCATATTGTATTTCTTTATGTTATTTGTCAGCGTGCTCACTTCTAGTTCTCAATAGATTGAATACATCTTCTCCGATAAAACTGGTACACTCACCTGTAACGAAATGGAATATAAGCAATGCTCTATTGCGGGTATAGCGTATGCTGATTACGTCGAAGAATCAAGAAAAGCTCGTATCATCGACGGCGAAGAAGTTGGATTACATGATTTCAAACAATTGAAGCTAAATCTGAAAAACCACCCAACAGGAAATGTAATCAATGAATTCTTAACTCTATTATCTGTTTGCCATACGGTCATTCCCGAATGGAAGGATGATAACCCAGCCAGTAAGATTTCGTCATCATCTACCTAAGGCGGTCATTCTTTTTGTTTTCCGTATTAAAATTTTACCTCCCCCCCATCCCAGACATCATATATCAAGCTTCTTCTCCTGATGAAGGAGCTCTTGTAAAAGGTGCACTTACCCTGGATTACATTTTTACGGTAAATCCCATAAATTTTCACAAAATTTTTGACCATTAATTAAATTCAGAGAGAAATCCAATATTAATTGTTTTACATTTAGACCCGTCGTCCAAAATCGGTCAACATACGTGTTAACGGTGTCGACCTTGAATACGAAATTCTCAACATATGCGAATTCAACAGTACACGTAAACGTATGTCCACTGTCGTTCGTGGACCTGATGGAAAGATTAAATTGTATTGTAAAGGAGCGGACACGGTGATCATGGAACGTTTGAGCGAAAATAACCTTTATGTCAAGAAGACACTGAACCATCTCGAGGAGTATGCCACCGAAGGTCTCCGTACTCTTTGCATCGCAATGCGCGAAATTTCCGATGAAGAGTATCGAGTTTGGTCTTCCATCTATGAGAAGGCTTCGACGACCTTGGTTGACCGTCAGGAAGAGCTTGACAAGGCAGCAGAGATGATTGAGAAAGATCTTTTCCTCCTGGGTGCAACTGCCATTGAAGACAAGTTACAGGATGGCGTCCCAGAAACAATTTACACCCTTCAACAAGCCGGAATAAAGATATGGGTTCTCACAGGTGATAGGCAAGAAACTGCAATAAACATTGGGCTTAGCTGTAAACTGATTCAAGAGGAGATGTCTTTGATCACTGTAAATGAAGAAAGTCATTGGGCGACAAAGGAACACATTGAGAAAAAGATTCAAGAAGTGAAAGGTCGTGTTAACCCTGACGCCGAAGTAAGTT